TGATTATATAGGCGTGTGTATATATTGATTGGGGATGATAACTGGTTGGTGGTTTGGAATTTGGAACATGTTTGATTTTCCATCATATATGGGATGTCATCCTTCCCATTGACGAACTCATATTTTTCAAGATGGTTAAAACCACCAACCAGTATATAATCTCAATATAATCCTATATAATCTCCATATAATCACCTTTTTTAGTCCCATTATAATCCCCAGTTCATAACCATTGATGAAGTCCATGATCTCCCAATAACTTGGTAATTGAGCCGAAGCCCTCCTGTTTCTTGGGGATTTTTGTACTCCAGTTTGGAAAATGGGAGTAAAATAGGGATTACAGAACAGTTTGAAATCCCTTGTCCAGTTTGTAATCAGAATTGGTATCCCTAGCTGGTTTCAAAACAGTGGTTAACCACTAGCCTTATCACCAGTGGTTTAGTATCCCGGATACCTATTTATCAATGCCCGAGATCTTGAAGGTTTTTTTTTCTCATAACCCTGGTGAGTCCGTAAGTCCGTACGTCCCCAGCAACAGTGGCTTATGCCACATATAGTTGTGGCACATTACTATGCTTACCTACCAGTTGTGATATGTGGGATAATCCTCCAAGTAGCCAATGCTGGATTAATCGGTTAATAGCTACAATGTGAGGCCCCCCAGTTATAGGTTGGTTTATAAGCCCCAGTAACAATAGGCCCCAGTAACAATAGTTATAAATACCATAAACCATAGTTATTGGACTTATAAACCAACTTAGCTATCTTGGGGGCCCCACTTTGTATGTCATTACCATTATGTCCGTACCATATCATTACTTTTGTTGCTTAAGAACCCGATGGAAAATTGATGGTTAAATCATGACAGCCCACTTGGGAAAGTAGCCACTTGAACATACATGAAAATACCCCATGAAAAATCCCCCAACGAGAACATCATCCAGTGATGATTCTATTGGAGTATCCACTTTTATTCCCATTTTTGGTAGTTACCCTGTTACCCTCTGGTTATTTAACATAGCTATGAAAACTGCCCATTTGTAGAGGATAAAACTGCTAGTTTGCCTGTTGGAAATGGTGATTTTCTATGGAAAATCGCCCAACCAAAACACAAACATGTCGCTGCTGAAATCCCCATGAAACGGAGATTTTCCAGTTCGCAAACCGGGTGGGGCCCACAAACGTTCTGTTTGTGGGTGAACATAACCCCATCTATCCTCTGGTAATTTAACATAGCTATTGAAAATGGCCATTTATAGTGAGTTTTCCCATTAAAAATTGTGATTTTCCATAGTTATGTTAAATTACCAGAGGGTAACTACCGTAGATGGACGAAATATTATGAAATATTCAAACCCCTCTTCTATCCGGTACAACCCCCCTTGTCCCCAAAGTTCAATGTTAATGTAATCTGAAGTGCATATCATTAGCCCCAATGGGCAAAAGAAATCAAACCCCTAACATCACTTTTGGTAACAGGCGCGCTGAAACCTTGAGATTTGGGGGTGCGGGGGTTCAACATAGTGCGTGTTGCAGGGTTTGAATATTTTGTCCATCTACTGTCGTTCGTTATAATATGTTATAACTACCATAAACCCTGGTGAAACTGTATTATGTTTGCCAACTTAGCTATTAAACGGGTGCCCCACTTTGTAGGTTTCATGGCTCGTTTCTTCCACAGGACCTTGTCTCAGATTTTTGCCGCCGCGGACCCGGACGGCAGTGGCAAGCTGTTGCTCGGAATGAGTCTTTTCAGGGACGCTGGGAAGGCGGAAAAGGTGGAAACTCCCTTTATATTTTAACTAGGCCAATCTTGGATGGGTAGCTTAATCCTTTAGTCTTTTCTGGTTATCTGGTTGGTGGTTTGGAAGATTTTTTATTGTTCCATATATTGGGAATAATAATAATCCCATGACTGATATTTTTCAGAAGGGTTGAAACCACCAACCAGTTTTGGTATCAATGGGATTATCTACTAAGCAGCTAAGAATTTATTTTTTGATCTATAAATGGATAGATAGCTCCAGTATATAAATGAACCATTATCATGAAGACCTTCCAGTATCCTAAGGTGTCATCTATTGATGAACAGGGGTACCCCCATGACTTAGGAAAACTCCATAGAAAGCTCATCTAGATGAACGGGATAGCCCGGTGACTTGCCAAAAATGGTGGTTTTGAACTTATTTTGAACCTATCCAAAAGTATGATGAACCAAAAATTGTACTGCGGTAAACAAAACAATGCTGTAAACCATCCTAGCTATACCTACCGTAGAAAGAGAAACCATCATCCCATTGCTAGGAGTTTTTTCCCAGTTTTTTTGTCGGCACCTTTTTCAAAGCGCATGGTTTCATCATATTTATCCCATGTTTTTTTATTATTATGGACGAAACCATCCGCAAATAATTTTATCATGGGAGAATTTTGATTTTATGATAGATCATATGTTATTTTCACCCATCATAAAATCAAAATTCTCCCATGAATGATCCATACCTTCCCATAATCGAAGCAACATGTAGCACATGTTTTTTCAATCATTGGGTTTCCCAACATTTTATTGGGCCAATTTATTGGGCTTTCCGCTCAGAACTTCCACCAGAAATAGCACGTAACTCAGGCGACGGTCGGTGTATCTGGAGATTCTGAATTCGCCCTTCCAAGTGCGTCGCTTGCAGCAGGCACCTCCACATGTAGAATATCTTGTACTTGGTGGCTTATACAACGGATTGAACCCTACTAGTTATAAGTTTTAAGTGGATTAACCTAACCTTACTTATATGATCTTATATTTCACTTTCACAAAACCAGGGATACAATCGACGTATGTGGAAAATTAGCCGCGGGGTTTTTCGAAGTGGTTCGCCGTGGTTCGCCCTGAGATGGACCAGGGCCTATCTGACAGGTGAAGATAAGGGGTAGGAATGGGTAGGAGACGCAGGGTAAATGATTCCTACGGATTTTTTTGGATTCAGCATAGTAGTCACTTGCCCAAAATGTGTTGGACACCTCTGTCAAATTACCCCCAGTCAAATCCTCTGTCAAAGCCGGGTATATATATATATATATACATATGTCCTTGGGCTGTCTCATGTGGAGCATCATTTTAGTAGAAAACTGTCATGTGTTTCAAAAAACCTCCAATGAATCAACGACTGTTTCCTAATCCGGGGTTCACGTTATTATTGAGATATTCCAATTTACGTCCACTTGCTTAATATGTTAATTAATACTGTATATGTACCCGCAAGCAAGAAATTAAAGGACCGGATAACCCCACATGTTACCAACTTCTTTAGACTTAGACTGACCATAGAAGAGCAAGAAGGGAAGAGGAAGTATAAGAGTGATGGAGCGGTGATGGTGGGTGAGTTTGTGTGTATGTATGTATGTTCATGTACAGTGAGTGAGTGAGAGTGTGAGTGAGTGATGCCAGTGTGGTGTGTGTGAGTGAGGGATGTGAGAGTGACTGAAGTGAGTGAAGTGAAGTGAAGTGAAGTGAAGTGAAGTGAAGTGAAGTGAAGTGAAGTGAGTGAGTGGGTGAGCGAGGGAGCGAGGGAGCGAGGGAGCGAGGGAGCGAGGGAGCGAGGGAGCGAGTGAGTGAGTGAGTGTGTGCGTGTGTGAGTGTGTGCGTGTGTGCGTGTGTGCGTGAGTGAGTGAGTGAGTGAGTGAGTGAGTGAGTGAGTGTGAGTGAGTGTGAGTGAGTGAGTGAGAGTGAGTGATGGAGGGAGGGAGGGAGGGAGGGAGGACGGGAAGGAAGGAAGGAGGACGAGGAGGAGGAGGAGCGGATACAGAACTAAAAACAAAAACCCCACACGTCAATGTGGGGAAAAACAGAAAGCTGCAATTACCACTGGTAACATCATCAAAACCAACTCGGATATACTCGGGTGCCAGCAGTGAGTTTTCAGGTGCCAGTGGTCAAAGTCCCCTGGATATAGCCCATCTGAGGAACTTAAAGGTGGTGGGACATTCGTAGCTCTATCGGCTCGCCATGACCATCCAGGAAAGAATCCCTATTCCCATATATAGTGTCTTTCCCATGTAAGAGTATAGTCAGCATATATTCCCATTCAATAATCCATAGTATTCCATAGATTCTATATATAATGATTCCATAGTATACGTACTTATACTGATTGGTGGTTTGAAACATTTTTTGTTTTTCATATATTGAGAATGTCATCATCCCAACTGACGAACTCATATTTTTCAGAGGGGTAGGCTCAACCACCAACCAGAGAAGGTCATGGGTTTTTGTTACCATTATTAATGTTAACTATAGGTTTTGTAAAAGCTTATGAAACCACCAGCAGGTATAATATCTTATAATTCCCCATCTCTTCCCATGGGATTCGTGAAGTGTCTTTTTTTAGCCCCGTTGTCGTCCCGCGAACCTCAGACGGTGAAGCTGCATCTGGAAGACATCCGAACCATCTTCGATCTGTGCCTCCGCAGCCGATTATGGAAGTGAGATAACAGGTTTCGGAGATCTGCAGGGTTTCGGAGATCAGATGTTTTTTGTGCTTGACTACTTAGCAGTTTTTTGGGAATCAACTTGGGGATACTGGCCAATCAGAATGGGGAAAATGGAGCAGGAATTGATTTAGATAGTGATGGTAGGTCTACACATTCCCGTCAGCATGCGGAATGTCTTTCAGTGTCTATCTAACTGGGAGATTGATGGGACTTTAGTATATACACCGTCGGGTGATTCAACAGAGCTATGGACAATTTACCGTGTTCAATAGGTACATCGAACTAAATGGGTCATGGTTTCCTTAGCTATGGTAAAGTACAGTACCTGCAGATAAATTAAACATTGAGTTTTACCATCAGAATTTGGAGCACATCAGGTTCGTGTCACTATTAGGTCGGAGGTTCGTGTTTACCATGTGGGTATGGATCAATACCTATTAATACCATTTTTAGTGGGATGAACATCCATTTACCAGCTATTTTGGGGTTCACTAGGTACCAGGGTTTTGACTCATAGCCATGTGTCAACCAAATTCAACTTCGACCAAGGGAGGAAAAAACACGGTGACTTGCGTGGCCTGAACCGATGCATTTCGTTTGGGGATGACATTTCCAGCACGGAGCATGGGCTCTGGGCGTTCAGAGATGGTCTTTGCTGCGGGATTCTTCTCATACTATTCTGATGATTAAAGTAGGAACTCGCTTATATCTCTGGCTAGCCACCTTGTTGTTGTTCTTCTTGTTGTTGTTGTTGTTGTTTACTACTCGGTGGCTCATCCCACTAATCCATCAGTAGGGATTTTACGAACTGGTTTTGTTCGTGGGATGAGCCACGTCGCCATTCATGGGCTTTCTATATACTTGGAGATGAATCCGGGGAATGGTACCCATAAGTGGGTAAGTAAGAACTATAATGACATTCCAGTTGTATATATGGCAGGTCTACCTCAGTGAAATGTGTGGGTTATGAGTGCGAAAAAAACAATTCCTGGACTGCACATCCAAATAGATTGCTAACTGGTTTACAGGGTGGTGGTTCCCAGGAAAAAAAGTTGGTCTATAGTCTATAGTCCCCATTAACAATAGCTATATGCCCCCATAAACCCTGGTGTGACATTGGAGTTAAAAGCCAACTTGGCTCACTATGGGGCCCCACCCACCTGAAATTGTTTTTTTGGGATATACAGTACCCCATCCATGGACAACCCAGATATCATATGTGTGGTATGTCTTTGATATCTCATTATACCCCGAAAAACACTAAACATTTTAGGTTTGTTCTCATCAAAACTTTGGGTAAGAAGCACTATTTCATATGTCATAATTATTCATGGGTTAAATCCTTACTGTTGATAGCAAACGTCTATTATTTCGGAAGGTGAGAAAAGGATAGAAATCCATCCGGATGTTTTTTTTTCCGCCAGCCACACGGAGGGCGTGCCCCTGAGTTATGATCGATATATCGACCATGAACCCCAAAGCGATATATTGGGAATGTCATCATCACAACTGACTTTCACTCCATCATTTTTCAGAGGGGTAGGTAGGTTGAAACCACCAACCAGAAATGAACCATCACCAATCAGAGAATCAACTCTATCAATCCCTATGTGTGCCTCGTGAAATCCCAATGTTTCAGTGGTTCAAATCGTCCAATTTCCTATCCCATAGGATCCATGTATGCTATATAACATTTACCATCAATATACCCCCAATGTTAGCATATATACCTTACATGGATCCTATGGGCTATGGACTTTGCTGGTGAAGCGGGCCCATCTTTTCCGCTAAAAAATCAGGCTGGACCTCGACGGTGCGGGCACGGTGGACTTTGAAGAGTTCCTGGGTCCGGTCCGGGCGAATCGTTTTGGACGTCGACGTTGGTGCAAGAAATGTGGAGCCCCAGAAATGACACGGATGGGATTTCCGATGACTCATACGATTGGGTTGGGAAGGATGAGAAAGACTTACTGGTGAGTTTATACGTAAGGAGTCCATGGGTTTGGAATGGGGTTGCTGGGGGTTGCTGGGATGATTCTTCAGCCAGTTCGTCGGTGGATCATTCCCGAAAATTCCCCACGTTTAGCACCAGGAAAACAAAGACATTCTGTCCTGGTGGATCCAGTTGTAGCGAAGTATGACTGGGGTATGATGACTAGGGGGTGCAAGCACCAGGCGCGTGAGGCTTCTGGCTATCGACTGTTGCGCGACAAGCGCATCAGTGTTGTCTACTTGGATGAGGCGGACATGAACAGCCTCGGAGGCTTGATGTGTGCCACTTGGAATTGCACAGAGGTCATCCTTGCCTATGACCCTGGCCAACGTCTATGGGCAACTGGTAGCCCGGATAACAGGTGGCTCACTGAGGCTGACCGGGAACCTGATGCCACCATTCTCTTCACAGGACCGCAGTTGCAGCTGCACGAGACCAGGCGCTTTGGGCCTGTTGCGGTCGAGCAGCTCCAGAGTTGCTTGCCTCAGTCCTACAGCGGTCTCCGCGCCTCAGATCATGCGCCGTCAACCACAGTCATGTGCTGGTACTTCAACACCAACGATTGGTTAGCCGTACCTTCACAGTGGCCATGGATCCATAGGGTGTATGATTTGTGGAAAAAGAATGAAAAAGATCAGACATGATCAGGCTTAACTTTTGTTTTTGATGGACAATTCATGTTTTAATCTGGACAATGGATGGTAATTGAGGTTTCCGTGTCTGGAAATACCATGGACTTGGTTCAGCTGCTTGAACGATGATCAGTATTTACTTCATTTTACTTCCATGTTTGCTGGTAAAAAAACCTCTGGGATTCCTGGTTTCCTGTACATTTTCCGGCCGTTGATGGGAGTTTTCGTGGCCCCTCCTCCTCGAATACGGGTCTAAGTTTCATGAACACCGTCAAATAGACCGTGTTGATGGTGGCATATGCTGATTAATTCAATAGAATATGAATATAATGATATATATATACTGTAGATATCTGTAGATAATCTTATTATGAGGGGGGAGGTACTGTAACGTGGAGAGGAGTTTTGTGGGGGGCCATCATAACAGGCCTGTTAGATCCTGTTGTGTTAGAGTGACAGAAGTTGGGGGTCTATTTTCAGACGCAGTCAATGGCTTATCTTAGACAATGGTGAACCGGTGGTGAACCGCTTATTGGTTTTGGATTTGAGTCACCTGGCCATTTCAGGTTCCGATTTATTGGAGGTACCTACCAAAAAAACAGTAGAAGATCTATGTAAGGCCTAAACTCAGAGAATATCCCCACAATTTATATGGCCAAAAATATGGTACTAACGTGCCTCCATTTTAGGACCCTGAAATTCCCTTTGAGGATCCCCCTCTGTTTTGGGGATGTCATCATTTTGGGGAACCAAAATCCCTTTTAGCACCAATCCAAACCAGCAGTCAACCGCGACAACCGTGCTGACATCAACTGAAGTGTATGTAGCCGTCAAACGTTTAAAAACACACAAAAAGGTACAAACTGGTGCCCCAGTTTGTTAGCTAAGTTGTTTTTTTCTGACTTCTTACTAGGTTAACTAGTGTTTGTGCTTAACGGGGCTGAAACAAACAAACTACCCTCGTGTAGCCCATAAGCTGCAGGCCTGCGGTCAACGGTGGCCATGGGATGATTGGAAGCAACAAACTGGGCCCATGTATTGAGATGGATGGACAGTTGGACTTTTCAAAAATAAATTGTGTATGACATATTATGAAATATTGTGAACTATGACATGTTGGATGAACAGATTTTGTTCAAGAGTGATCTTCCGTTACACAATTATACAACTGAATGGTTTTCAGGGAGATGATACATGGATAAACCGAGGGTCACCATGCATTCGATGGCCCGTTTTTCTTGGGCCCCTGAAGGTCCTCAAAGGTCACCTCTTTCGAGGGATCGGAGGTAGCAGCTACTACTTTTGAGGTAGATAGTTATCTGGTTGGTGGTTCGGAACATGACTTTTATGAAATTCCATTTATTGGGAATGTCAGAATCCCAACTGACTTACTCCATCATTTTTCAGAGGGGTAGGCGAAAAACCACCAACCAGTTATTTATTTCCCAATGATATCCCAATATCCAATCATACACCAATCAATCCCACCATGTTTGGACACTAAATCCCCATTTCACCATTTTGGAGAACAATCATAAACTATCCCCCAGTCATCACAATTTTTATAGGTGGTATAAAATGTTATAAACCATTCCCAAATGGGTTGTTTATGGCATTCTTGTTACCCACATTACTAGTTTTTGAGGTATTTGGAGGAATATCCATACACGAATCAATCCCCTATGTTTGGACACTAAATCCACTAATCAATCCCCATTTCACCGGGTATTTGGAGGCTTTTTAGACTCTGGGCTTGCTAAATGTCCTCATTTTTTCACATCACCCAAAGATTGTTTTTTGTTAATCTCCAACAGTAAGTTTTAGTGTGAAAGAAATCCCCAAGCCATGGGACATTTCCTAAACCCTGCAGTACCTGAAACTTTTCGATTTTGGGATCATCCTAGCTGTCCAGCTGAGTCTCTCTGAGGTTCTGTGAGAGCTTGGACTGGATCAGCAAACCTGTCTCTCAGCTCAGATACGGAGGATGGGGAAACTGCCACAGCTACGATGGGACTATGGATTTTGTACATGGAAATGTGGTTTTGAATAATGAACAATATGACGCTAACATGTTTTCATCTTTTAAGCTATGGGTCTTTTTTTCTATGTACTGTACATATATGGTACATATATGACTGGTTGGTGGTTTGGAACATTTTTTTAAAAATGAATTTCCATATATTGGGAATGTCATCATCCCAACTGACTTTCACTCCATCATTTTTCAGGGAGGTAGGCTCAACCACCAACCAGAATATTATTAATCATCATTAACCATCATCATAACCATATATTAACCATCATTAACAGTATATATATATATATATATATTAACCAGATGTTGTTCTATTTGTTCTCTGAACAATACAGTTATGGCCATTTATCAGTTATAAGTACTTATTATAACCCCATTTATAGAATGTATAATCCCATAAAAATAACCAGTTATAACTGGTAGCCATGGCCATAACTGTAGCTGAACTTACCATGGCTACATCCCATCGTACCCCATGGCAAGCCTTGACATCGGAGGTCACGGGACGTCGGCTCTTGAAGGTGGACTTGGGGGTCCGAAGGCTCAGCTAACGTGCGTTAGCCTCTGGTAAACATACAAAAAAACATGGAAAATCACCATTTTTAATAGGTAAATCATTTATTTCTACGGGCCATGTTCAATAGCGAACTGTAACAGATTACCAGAGGGTAAGGATCGCTGGATCGCGGGGCTGGGAGGATTGAAAGAAAAAACATGGTTTGGATTTGTCAAAATGGATTGGCTTTTCAGAGGAAAACATAAGAGGAAACCAGAGGAAACCATAGGGGTTTAGCACCAGTTGTTTGGAGTTTCCTGTAGATTTTCCCTGAAAGCATTGAATGAATGAAACCATGTCATGGGGATGCGTAAGACTGAACTGAACTCCTGTGTGAACTCCAGCAGCGAATGGTATGAGGAATGCTTAAGATTCATCTTATGTGTGAACCCATCTGGTTGGTGGTTTGGAACATTTTTTCAATGAATTTCCATATACTGGGAATGTCATCATCCAACTGACGAACTCCATCATTTTTCAGAGGGATAGGTCAACCGGTCAACCACCAACCAGCCATTGTTGCAGCCCTTGTTCGTGGTTGGGATTTATACACCCTTAGTAAATCCTCATTGGGAAGGGCCACCTTCGGGTGAGCTTTGGCGAGATCCCCATGATGCATGTCAAATCTGTCACCAAAAAGATCGTTGATGTAAAGCCGAACCACTTTGAAAAGCATTGCACACCATCTCCAAGATGAATATTTGTGTAGCATATATGAAACACTATGCAACATTTTACATAACTATATATATATATATATACGTATATTATAGTATACATAAATGATTCACTGCACACGGGAACACTATGAAACATTATTAAACATAGCATCTCCAAGGTCAGGATGTTGTGCCGTGATGCAATTGATGCCATCCCCTAAAGGCCAGCGACCTTGAAATCCGAAAGTTGTGGTTGACGTGCAGATGCGTGTATGATATATAATAATATATAATATAGTAAATTTATAATATGTATTTATGATATTTGATACATATAAAAAATATATTACATATATGTTTTCTTTTTTCAAAGAAACATATCATGAATATATATATATATAATATTATACATATATATATATATATAATATTATACATATATATATAATATTATACATATATATATACATCCAACAGATCAAGATACACATGTTTCCAGCAGATAAACGGATCTGCTGCCGGTCCCAGGTGAAGTTGGTGAGTTCGAAGGTGCAGCAAGGAGCTCTGCGCAGCTTGCAGCGTCTTTTTTTCCAGCAAAGGCATTGGCTTATTTGCCCACACTTATGGCACTTAAGAGTTATACATGGAATTATAACTCCTATAACCAAGGTTATATAATGTGTATATGTATGTATATGTATGTATATATATATATCATGAAATAAGCCAATTTAGAACTGTTTGTAGCACAACTCCAGCCAAGTCAGCTCCGTCTGCACGAAATCCGCCCGCCAGGAGTCGTTGATGCCAAGAAAGACTTCCAAAGTGGTGCCCTCAGGGCTGACCGGCTGACCATGTGTTGAAACCCTTTGACTGATCCAGGACTTAAGGAACCGCCCCTTACAATCTGGGATTTTCTGGGCTTTTAACATGAACAATCTAAAAAATCAGGATTTTATCTGGGGAAATCATGAAACATCTGGGATTTTCTGGGAAACTTGTGGATTTTGAACTGAAAAATCATCACACATCTGGGAGAATGTTGATCAAACCATCCCCAAGTTGCGGTTGAAGGTCACACATTCACACACGGAACACGGATGGTAGTGCCCCATAGTTGCCTAAGTTGGTGGCTCATCTCACTTAGTAGTTGTTTCCGGGTTATAACTCAGATAAGTAGGATTAATCCATATCAAAAACCAGTGTGAACTAACCTACTTCAAATTCTGCGGATGAACCACCAAGTAAGTCTGTTTTATGACAAATATAACCTAGGTTATATCCTAATATCCCTATTGTCGTTGGTTATATTCCATTATATCATATCATATCCCCGATGCATTCTCATGATTGAAACTTAATGGGGACTTAATATGAAACTTAGATACCCATAGGATCCATGTATGCTATATATGGTAACATTTACCATCAATATACCCCCAATGTTAGCATATATATATATACCATACAGGGATCCTATTGGATATGAGAAAGTCCGAAAGCGTGATTTGGTGAAATCACCATTTTGAACATGTATTGATGGTTAGTTTTTCTCCATTAATCCCAAATTAGCTCTATAAATTCTTGTTGTTGTTGTTGTTGTTGTTGGGATCTTTGATCATTTTTAATCCCTCAAATCAATCTTAATCCCAATATACTTAAACTCCTTATAATTTCCTATGGTTATGTTCATCATATTCCCATGATACCCTCCAATTAACTAACATAGACCTTGCCAGATAGGGGTTTTGTCAGAGTAGTTTCCACTCACTTTATTGCTCTTTTTCAGGGTCAGTTAACTGTCAATGTTTAAAAAAACCATAGGATATCTTCAATTTTCCCTCTGTTTTTTTTTTAATCCGATGTTTTATTAACATATATATATATAATTTACTGTTTTATGATTTTTAAGAATTCCTATGTTTATCCTATGTCTTATCCTTCGTTTCATTTTATCATATGTTTTATTGACAGAGTTCGGAATCATAATCAAAACAGTGTTTTATTATGTTTTATCTTCATTTTTCCCTATCAGAATATAATTCCCATTTTCAGAATTCCCATGCTGCATGATGTTTTTTATGTTTATCCCCATAAAACATGTTTTCCCCATGTTTTGCCCCCTACAAAGTGGTGGCCCCCCCCCCAGTTATGTTTGTTGGCTTATAAACACCATGAAAACTAGTTCGTTATATGTATCATAAACCACAGTTATTGAACTTATACACTAACTTAGCTATCGAACTGGGGCACGACATTGTATAGTACAGTATATAACCCTTTTTTTTTATTTATATATATATATGAATGCTAATACATAGTAATTACTGTATATATTAGAATGGTAATACATAGTATATACATAGTAATATATAGTTATACTGTATTATATCATTACTGATATATACATAGTAATGGTAATACATAGTTTTCAGACAGATCCACAAGTCTCCATACTTTCATCCCATCCCAATACTAAACACCATGGTTTTTTTCCATGGTTTCTGGGATGGTTGGATGGGGATTTACACATACCCTCTGGTTATTTAACATGTGGAAGTCATGACCATTCATGACCCATTTAGTTCGATGCACAGTACCTATTGAAAGTGATGGATTTTCCATGACTATGCAAATTATATCATATTATATATATATATATCCCATGACTATGCCACTGTTATTGTCCATAATATATGGAAAAAACCTTCCCATTGACTTTCATATTTTTCAAGATGGTTGTTGCACCACCAACTAGATTTAAAACCACCAACCTGGTTATACCCATATAAATATAAATATATATATATCCCATATATATCCCATATATACATATATATATACCCTCTGGTAAACTAACGTAACTATGGAAAATCACAATTTTTATGGTTAAATTTCCATAGCTATGTTAAATTTCAGAACTCCGTGACCATGACGAATCCCCCATGACGTTAGCGCCGCTGGCGTCGCCAAAACTCCAAGGTTTTTGCCGCCGCTTCGACCGACAACAGAAGGTGCTCATGGCCAGGCCGGAAAGAGCTGGAGAAGTCACCAAGAAATGGGGATGTCACCGGAAAGAAATATGTGATTTAATCAACAACAATTTATATATATATATGTGTAATTATAGTATATATATATGTGTTATACATATAATATATATATATATATATATGTGTTTATATATATATATATGTATATGATTGAGCCAACAACCAAAGTGATCAAAGTGGATGAATTATATGCATTTACCGAAGAAAACTATCAGGTGATTGAATCAGAAAGCAACATCTCAACTAGAAAAAATAAACTAAAGACTAAGCTGAACATGACATTCATCTTGCGACTTCGAACACCAATGCATGTTGTCGTTTGACCTTGCGATGATCAGCGCAAATCGAGAAGTGATGTCGGAACTGCAACTGTTATGTTGGGACATGCAGATTCATGTCATATCCTGGGAAGTTTGAAATGTGAGAAGTGCCACTCCATAAGATGCACAAGGTTGGTTGTGAGGCTGATCAGTCTCACTAGGTTGGTTCCTAATCATATACATGCACATGTATATATATATGTATAATATGATGTATATATATATATATGTATAATATTATATGTATATAGTCGTGTTTTTTGGATCCTGGAACAAAATTGTGTAGGTGGTGCTTCAAGTAGGAGCTTTTTTAAGCGCAAACTTTTCCGCCATCCTTCCGCGACCTAATTCCGACAGGTTTGATGAATATCAGAGCCTGACACTCAGATAATTTTTGGCTGAGGGACAGTGGGATTGGTTAGTTTCCTATGGTTTGCATGGGATAATGCTACAAAATCTGGCATGGGAAGATGCTACAAAAACCGTTCGTTCTCCGATTTTGGTTGGGATTTCACCATGAATTTGTAGGTTCATGTGGTCTTTTTGATGTTATCTACCATATGGAGATGTAAATTTCATAAAATATGGTTGGGTGAGAATATTATAGGCTGTTATACTCTATGTCATTCTACCCTGAGGATTATCACAAGCCATTTTCACTGGGATTCCTGTTCGTGACCAGGATTGAGCACTGGTAAGGTAGATGACCATGACTGCCTCATTGATATTGAATCATACAATGTGGGGAGACCCTGGATAGGTGAGTTGCTTTATAACTTCGGCTAACGATGCTTTATCATATATATATAAGAACATTTGGAGACAGCATGAAGGTCTCAATGAGCTGCACGGTGAACTTGAGATGTTGGTCGACAATCAAGAGTCAGTTCATTGGGGACTTGTCTGACAGCTGAAGATCGAGGCAGAATGTATGAGATTGAGCATGCAAACAAAAAGTGGCACATCGAGCAAAAGGGAAGATATGGAAGCTCAAAGGTATCACAATATTAAAATTATTCAAAAAAATGTCGCGCTGTGGCAGGAGATGACACTGACATGTTTGTTGGGAGGGCAGGTACCCGTAGTCAGTTTGGAGATCAATTCTCTGCTTTGGTACCAGCTATTTTGGTGTACCGTCGGAAACCAGGCTTTTGACCCATCCCCAATTCATTACCCTCTGGTAAACTAACATAACTATGGAAAATCACAATTTTCAATGAGAAAACTCACTATTTCTATGGCCATTTTCAATAGCTTTTTGTATGTTTACCAGAGGGTAAAGTGTGGTGTTTTTTGATCTAAAACCAAGATATTGTACCAAGCCTTCAAGCTTCTTGGTTCATAGCAGGAGGAAATCTGCAGGAAACCTCCAATCGTCTAGCTGTTTTGGCCACTTCTGCGTTGATTAACCAGGAAGGAAATTAGAGACTTTCTATGGAATATTCCCCAATCATATTCTCTATGTATATATATATCAGTTGTCAGCTTGAATCTAATCATTCCCTATCATTTTCCATACCTATTAATATATAAAATCATATACATACATACAATACATTACATTGCATTGCATTACATTACATTACATTACATTACATTACATACATCCATACATGCATGCATGCAGACAGACAGACAGGCAGACAGACAGACAGACATACATACAGACATGAATCATAAACGTTTTATAACTATATATATATAAATACATGTATGCACATGTGAATATTGTGTTATATATATATATGCACATATATATATATATTATAATATTTATTTAAAAGGAGTAGGAGCTCTATGTGTTTTTTTCTGGAATCCACAGTGCCCAAACTTGAAGTACAGGTGCGTTCCTGCTGAAATTGCACATCATTTCACCAGATTTCACCAGATTTCACCAGATTTCACCAGATTTCACCAATGGCCTGGAGGCGCCACATGAAAGCTATGCCAGGTTACTAGGCACAAAGACATCCTGCGTGATCATTTGCTATCAGGTTATAAGTAGACAATATCTATATCTATATATATAATTTAATATAATATAATATATAATATAATATAATAATATATATATATATACATAAATAAATAAAATTAATGAATGAATGAATGAATAAATGAATTAATAGATAAATGAATATATATATATAAATAAATAAATGAACAACAAATAAATACATATAAATGAATCAACAAATATGTGTATATATATATACCCTATGGATCCAAACACTGTCTGAGAAGGTACTTAACCCCCTAAATCATACCCCAGTCGTACTTCCTAAGAACGTACTTGGATCCGTGGGGTATATAACATTCAAACTCTGTGTTTCCTTACGAAATTCTCAAGTAACCAACTTAGCTATCTTGGGGGCCTCACATTGTATATATATATATACACACATATATATATATATATAAATGAATGAATAAATAAATACATATAAATAAATCTACACCATTTTCAGACACCCATAGATTTCAGTGTGTTGCTTCTATCCCCATTCTATCCCCATTATATACATATCCCGGTCCTGATGTTGCTGTCACCAAAGGCTTCGATTTGGGCGGCCCATCCTTGGGCTACCGCGCGCGCTTCCGCTCCAGATCCCTGCGGCTCGGTGACTTCAGCCCCGTTGAAGCTGGGAAAACGTGAACGGAACCATGGGGAAAACCATAGGAAAACCATAGGAAAACCATAGGAAAACCGCTGATTTCATCAGGAAAATTGGGGATATCACGGATATCACCTTCAAAATGATGGACAAAAACTGACTTGAACCATGAAAATATTGATTTAACTAGCAAATATGGTGATTTTGCCAACCAAAATGATGATTATAAGAATATAACATGACTTGAACCTTCAAAACTGATTGTTTTACCACCAAAAAAGAATATGTATAGGGAAAAATCTAATGGAAAAATGAAGAATCATCATTGGATGGTGGATAAGACCACCAAAATTGGTGATTCAACCAGCAAACACGAGGAGGAACATGGTGGCTGAAGCAAGCACGACTGATGATTCAGAATTGATAAAAAAGTGATTTAACCATTAAGATTGGGGTAAACCAACAAAATGGGGCTTACAATTGAATTATGAGAGGTTTATCTTGGTTTACAACTAGGTCCGGTCAACTGGTTTATTTCATGGATAGATTGGCAAAACTAAATAAACACAATAATATCCAATCTTGCAAATCTTGCAGTACTAGATGGAATATACGGGAATATAAACATGCACCAACTTTTGATACTACCTTTCACACATACCACCGAGTTGGAAAATATATTGAATGGCTATGATACCCAATGCGCAGCGGGGATATAAAAATCATCCGTGACATGGGCATCCACATGAAACATGGAGAAGCAGTGGGAGAGTTTCCGTTTAAGGTTTTTTTTTTTTGTAGAAACTGGGTGAGAAACCCAATTTCCACAGCTAAACAGCTAAACCATCCAACAATAATAATGTATTGTATATCCTCTGGTAAACATACAAAAAGCTATGGAAAATCACCATTTTTCATGGGAAAGCTCACGAACTAAATTGTGACTTTCCATAGCTTTTTGTTAACGTTTACCAGAGGGTAGTGTGGCAAAGCCTACTCGGTGGCTGATCTATGCTTATTTTACTGAGTAGATGATAAAATCCGTTGTAACCGTTGTAACCCTAGTTACCCTCTGGTAAACTAACATAGCTATTGAAAATTGTCATTTATAGTGGATTTACCCATTAAAAATGGTGATTTTCCATAGTTATGTTAGTTTACCAGAGGGTACAAGTAAATTAACCCTACTTATCCCACTTATAGCCAAGGATATAATGATATAAGTATTGCCATCTATTACCTACTTAGTAAGTGGGATGGTCCACCAAGTGTAGTAACGCCAACTCTTGTTAACACGATGAATACCAGCCCATTTCTTTGATAAAAAGGGGATGGTTTAGGCCTTCCAAAGCATGGACTTCGGGGTTGCGGCAAGGTCCTTCTCCGGCTAAAAATAATCTCCAATTAGAGCAGTGGCTCCTAAACCCCTGTTGATTGATGATTGTACAATGTGCACCATTTATATAAATGATTCATCTATTAAACATGGGTAATCTATTGTTTGTTCTTGTTTAACCTAGCTATGTTAGGTTACAAAAGGATGCAAGTCACTCCTTATGCTTCAGTCACCCAATGAAACCATCTCATGATGGCCCTTGAAACTTGAGAATTTCATAAGGAAACACAGAGTTTGAATGTTATATACCCCATGGATCCAAGTACCTTCTTAGGAAGTACTTGGGGTATGATTTAGGGGGTTAAGTACCTTCTCAGACAGTGTTTGGATCCATAGGGGTAGTTGTTTCTTGTTTGTCTTGTGAATCTCTTGGAAACCATCTTGATATTCCGCTGATATTCCAAGATATATATATACATATTATTGTATCTCCATTGCATTGTTTAAGTTAAACCAAACATGTTCCGACAAATATCCAATGATATTCCGTTTGATATTTCTCTTGATTAAACCATGTTAAAGCCTAAAGTTTGATAGTGAAAAACGCTACTTTTCATACACTTGAACTCCTTTTCCCAGGTCCAACATTTCTCGTGCTTCGTCGACCTGGTAACTCGCCCCGAGATTTCTCCAGTCGGACACGCATCTTGTGCATGGAAATATAGGGGAGAATGCATCAGAACACCATGGTGAAAAACCATGAAAAATAGTGGTTCACCTGTGAAAGATACTAGTTTTCTCCACTTTTAACCATGAACAGGATTTTTAAAAAATAAAATGCATATTAATAATTAGGGGATAAAGCATCACTATCTCCATCAATGGGCCATGGGTTTTAAGAATAGGTTGATCGACACAATTCAACAAGGACTTGGTTCGCTGATTTCTAGCCCAATCGCTTACTGTAAATGTCTCCTGGGGGCACACAAAAAGGCAATATATATATATATCATTTAAGGTGGTGATTGAACAAAAACGGCTTTCACAAATAAAATCTACACTAAAATTGACAGCGCTTAATTATAATCATTGTGCAATGTGCACCATTTAAATGAATCATCTACTGAACATGGGTAATCTATTGTTTTTTTGTTTAACATAGATATGTTAGGTTACAAACGGATGCAAGTCACACCATGCGAAACAGAACTTTGCTTCAGTCACCCAATGAAACCATCTCATGGTGACCCTTGAAACTTGAGAATTTCGCAAGGAAACGCAGAGTTTGAATGTTATATACCCCATGGATCCAAGTACCTTCTTAGGAAGTACTTGGGGTATGATTTAGGGGGTTAAGTACCTTCTCAGACAGTGTTTGAATCCATAGGGGTAGTTTTTTCTTGTTTGTCTTGTGAATCTCTTGAAAACTATCTTGATATTCCGCTGATATTCCAAGAAATATATATATATACATATTATTGTATCTCCATTGCATTGTTTAAGTTAAACCAAACATGTTCCAACAAATATCCAATGATATTCCGTTTTATATTTCTCTTGGCTAAACCATGTTAAAGCCTAAAGTTTGATAGTGAAAAACGCTACTTTTCATACACTTGAACTCCTTTTCCCAGGTCCAACATTTCTCGTGCTTCGTCCACCTGGTAACTCGCCCGAGATTTCTCCAGTCGGACACGCATCTTGTGCATGGAAATATAGGGGAGAATGCATCAGAACACCATGGTGAAAAACCATGAAAAATAGTGGTTCACCTGTGAAAGATACTAGTTTTCTCCACTTTTAACCATGAACAGGATTTTTAAAAAATAAAATGCATATTAATAATTAGGGGATAAAGCATCACTATCTCCATCAATGGGCCATGGGTTTTAAGAATAGGTTGATCGACACAATTCAACAAGGACTTGGTTCGCTGATTTCTAGCCCAATCGCTTACTGTAAATGTCTCCTGGGGGCACACAAAAAGGCAATATATATATATATATCATTTAAGGTGGTGATTGAACAAAAACGGCTTTCACAAATAAAATCTACACTAAAATTGACAGCGCTTAATTATAATGATTGGTTTACTGCGTGAAGTTGTTGACACAGTGGCAGCATGACAAACAAGCATGGATATAGAAGCAACAAGGGGGATGATATCAGCATCATGATCATGAATGTTGGTGGTGATTATGATGGTGATGCTTATGTTTACGTTTGTTGTCGTTTGTAGTACGATGTAAAATTATAATACTGTATTGTTTCTAATTTCACCTTTCCAGGCTATTCTTGTTTATTTGGCCATGTTTGGCCTTCATGCTGTGCTTCATCCTGTTGAAAAAAAGTTATACGGAATATTGTCTCATGATGAACCAGTTTCTATATTATCATGCAGGTCGTGTTGCATTTCTGGTCCCTTTGTTTCAACACTACAAGATTGTACAAGTACGATACACTGACACGGAATTGAAGCAGCTACTGGTGCACCTAGAATATATATATATATAGGAATGCATGGAACCGATACTCCGTTTATGGGGATTCCTGTCGGATATTAGTGGACCATCAAAGACTTTTTTGGTGATGTTTTCTGTTGACGATTGGATTGCGAACGTTGACTGCATCCCAGTCCAGCACTGTTCTTTTTGACATCCTCATTTTTCTTGCTGAAAAGTTACTTTAAAAAAGTGATACTACCCAAATGCTCCATGGTGCTGGAATATTTCCCAACATTTACCCGACATAAATCACCCAGATTGTACGTAAATATACCAGCACCATGGAGCACATGGGGTAGTTTCACACTCAGTTTTCCCTGTTATGTTTCGACTGCCCTGCGAACTCTGGATCCGATCACACAAATCACCCCAACCATCTTCCTGTTTTTGTTCAGAAAAAAAACACCATCAACTCACCTGAAATAAAATCACATCAACATAGCATCCACTAAAATCACCATAGAAAATCCTCCAGAATCACCATAGAGAATCCTCCAGAATCACCATAGAGAATCCTCCAGGATCACCATAGAAAATCCTCCAGAATCACCATAGAGAATCCTCCAGAATCACCATAGAGAATCCTCCAGGATCACCATAGAAAATCCTCCAGAATCACCATAGAGAATCCTCCAGAATCACCATAGAGAATCCTCCAGAATCACCATAGAGAATCCTCCAGAATCACCATAGAGAATCCTCCAGAATCACCGAATCACCATAGAGAATCCTCCAGGATCACCATAGAAAATCCTCCAGAATCACCATAGAAAATCCTCCAGAATCACCATAGAGAATCCTCCAGAATCACCATAGAGAATCCTCCAGAATCACCATAGAGAATCCTCCAGAATCACCATAGAGAATCCTCCAGAATCACCGAATCACCATAGAGAATCTTCCAGAATCACCATAGAGAATCCTCCAGAATCACCATAGAGAATCCTCCAGAATCACCATAGACAATCCTCCAGAATCGCCATAGAGAATCCTCCAGAATCACCATAGAGAATCCTCCAGAATCACCATAGAGAATCCTCCAGAATCACCATAGAGAATCCTCCAGAATTACCATAGAAAATCCTCCAGAATCACCATAGAGAATCCTCCAGAATCACCATAGAGAATCCTCCAGAATCACCATAGAAAATCCTCCAGAATCACCATAGAAAATCATCCAGAATCACCATAGAGAATCCCCCAGAATCACCATAGAGAATCCTCCAGAATCACCATAGAGAATCCTCCAGAATCACCATAGAGAATCCTCCAGAATCACCATAGAGAATCCTCCAGAATCACCATAGAGAATCCTCCCATAGAGAATCCTCCACAATCACCATAGAGAATCCTCCAGAATCACCATAGAGAATCCTCCAGAATCACCATAGAGAATCCTCCAGAATCACCATAGAGAATCCTCCAGAATCACCATAGAGAATCCTCCAGAATCACCATAGAGAATCCTCCAGAATCACCATAGAGAATCCTCCAGAATCACCGAATCCATAGAGAATCCTCCAGAATCACCATAGAGAATCCTCCAGAATCAACATAGAGAATGCTCCAGAATCACCATAGAGAATCCTCCAGAATCACAATAGAAAATCCTCCAGAATCACAATAGAAAATCCTCCAGAATCACCATAGAAAATCCTCCAGAATCACCATAGAGAATCCTCCAGAATCACCATAGAGAATCCTCCAGCATCACCATAGAGAATCCTCCAGCATCACCATAGAGAATCCTCCAGAATCACCATAGAGAATCCTCCAGAATCACCATAGAGAATCCTCCAGAATCACCATAGAGAATCCTCCAGAATCACCATAGAGAATCCTCCAGAATCACCATAGAGAATCCTCCAGAATCACCATAGAGAATCCTCCAGAATCACCATAGAGAATCCTCCAGAATCACCATAGAGAATCCTCCCATAGAGAATCCTCCACAATCACCATAGAGAATCCTCCAGAATCACCATAGAGAATCCTCCAGAATCACCATAGAGAATCCTCCAGAATCACCATAGAGAATCCTCCAGAATCACCATAGAGAATCCACCAGAATCACCATAGAGAATCCTCCAGAATCACCATAGAGAATCCTCCAGAATCACCGAATCACCATAGAGAATCCTCCAGAATCACCATAGAGAATCCTCCAGAATCAACATAGAGAATGCTCCAGAATCACCATAGAATGCTCCAGAATCACCATAGAGAATCCTCCAGAATCACCATAGAGAATCCTCCAGAATCACCATAGAGAATCCTCCAGAATCACCATAGAGAATCCTCCAGAATCACCATAGAGAATCCTACAGAATCACCATAGAGAATCCTCCAGAATCACCGAATCACCATAGAGAATCTTCCAGAATCACCATAGAGAATCCTCCAGAATCACCATAGAGAATCCTCCAGAATCACCGAATCACCATAGAGAATCCTCCAGAATCACCATAGAGAATCCTCCAGAATCAACATAGAGAATCCTCCAGAATCACCATAGAATGCTCCAGAATCACCATAGAGAATCCTCCAGAATCACCATAGAGAATCCTCCAGAATCACCATAGAGAATCCTCCAGAATCACCATAGAGAAAGAATCCTCCAGAATCACCGAATCACCATAGAGAATCTTCCAGAATCACCATAGAGAATCCTCCAGAATCACCATAGAATCCTGTAAAATCCACTGGAAAGTCTCGAGAAAGTCCATCCCAAAGCCAGCTCGGCCAGCCGAGGTCCTCGGAGTCCTCCACGGCCTTGGGAAGACCAGCAGGTGACGTGGGAAGACGTGGGAAGATGTGGGAAAATGGCAGTGAAAGCAGCAGAAAACTGGCAGTTTGAGGAGGTTTTAGGAGGAGACTGGGATTGCTATGGATTTCTTGGGATGTTTTAGCTGTTTGAACCATCAAAGATTGTGATGATGGTTTAACTTTAGCCAAAACATAGGGACTTAAATCATGAAACAAGTGGATTTAAGACACACAATACTGTATGTATGGATTACTGTGACGAAAAAATGGACAACTATAACTATGATGAGACTTGGTGATTATGAAACATTGGGGCAGTTAAGATTTTTTGGAAAATATGGGAGGTCAATTGACCTTTACATTTAAAAAATGTGGGTTGAACAAACGACATATCGGCATTGACGATTGGAAATCTAAGACCCAATAGTCATGATAGTCATGGGCCACAATGGCTGTGGAACCATCAACAATTGGGATGATGGTGAAAAATTAGCCCATCAGATTCATTGGAATTTCAATCCAATATTGGATGTGTGCATGTGTTAATCAGGACAAAATAGAGATTGACTAAGATTTACAGCCAACAAAAATCATATTCTGGCCAGTCAAAAAGGTATCAAAACCCTTCACTTTGCTTATAGCCACGTTCCTGCAAGTGGTTGAGTGGAAAAAATATATAGCAAGCCCCTGCAAGTGGTAGATGAACAGATGCTTTCCTGCGACTTTTTCGTTGAACACAAAGTGACAGATGCCCCCGAAAGATCCCCCAAGAATCCCTATAACAAAGCTACATCTTTGTTTGGGGCACGCGTATCCATGTTATAAGGCTCCTGCCATACCCTAAGAGGGCCATGTTTTGGGCACGAAAATATCTGTGTCTATCCCCAAGAATCGATCGAACAAAAAATCCAAGGTGCTTCCACACAGCAGCCCAGTCGAAGGTAGAGATGCATAGGGCATCTTTATCCCCCAAAAAACATGACTGGTTGGTGGTTTGGAACCATGGAATTTTATGACTTTCCATTCAGTTGGGAATGTCATCATCCCAACTGACTTTCATATTTTCAAGATGGTTAAAACCACCAACCAGATCTCAATATGATCCTATATAATCTCCATTTTTGATCCCCATATAGTCCCATATAATCCCCACCATCTAGTTGCTATCCATGGTTGTTGCACCACCAACCAGATTATTATCAACCATCATTAACCATATATTAACATATTAACCATATATTAACCATCAAATGGGGGATTTAGCATTGTAAAAAGCGGGGTAGGTTCAACCACAAACCACAAACCAGATGAAATCTCCCATGAACTGCCCACTTTCTTCATGGTTCAGCTCCAAGGTCGAGGCCGAAGGGACAGGCGCTGCAGCTGGTTTTTTCCCGATATGTCTGTGTTGGTTGATGTGCACATGTTTGGCTGGTTTACTTTATGAAAAATAAATTGTATATATATATATATCTGATATGAGATGATATAATATTACTGTGTATGATATATATATATGTATATATTATATATTATTTATGATATATATATATATATATATTATGTATATATTATATAAATATATATGTATATTGTGTATATATATAATATTATTATTATAGATATGCAATCCCCCACCCTTAAAATGTATGAAGGGGGGGGTACCCGGGATTTTTTCATACATTTCCAGGCCCCCACCCAGTCTGAAACGGGTATTTTTGTATGTTTTTTTTTTGTAAAATTAAGAGGTTACCTGAAGAGGTGGGGGGTGGTCCTCATACATTTTCAGTATTTGGCTTCAAAAGCTTGTTTAGAAAAAGGTGGGGAGGCGGTTTCAAATACTTCTTGTTGCTTCCAAATAATTCTGCAGCTTTCCTTGGAAAGTTAAATGCAACAAACTTGAAAGCATCGTGAAAAGAAATTCGCAGCCGTGTGCAGCTGTCCTGTTTTTAAAGCATCGAAATTTCATGAGTTTGCAATAGTTTGCAGCCTAAGCAAAGAGAACGACTGGAAATTGCTTTGGACCCATTGATTCTGAGGCCAGATATCGAAAGAAGCTGTGGAAATCAATCGAAGGAAATCGTCCGCTTTTGAGGTTGAAACAACATAGTCCCCCCTTACTTTCATGCATTTCCAGTGATTTACAGAAACCACCTAGTCCCCCCTATATTTAATACATTTGATTTTGTCTTATCTTATCCAGGTTACTGCAGTAAATGAGCTGGTCCCCCCTATGTTTCATACATTTTAAGATTTTTAACTTGCAATGAATTAATAGTTCCTAGTAGCAGCTCACCCCCTAGAGGAATACATTTTTGGGGGTTTCCCAAACATTGTTTAAGTATCCCCCTTATAATATCCCTTATTAAATGGCGCCACCCGGGTGGCGCCATTCATTTCTTATAGGGTCCCGCCCCCCGGGTTAAAATCAAACATGAAATTGCTTATAAAATGGAGTCTTTTGCAATAACGGGTTTGGGAAGATCCCTACTTGAAACTGTCATTTTATAAACCGCCCCTTTTTCTGGGGGCTATAAAATGGCAAACCCCCGTATCTCCTCAGGAGAAAACATGGGGGGCGGGGTCAGCATAAAAAAAAAAAATATTTGTATATTTTTTTACTACATGTTGGGGTTATAAAATCATGGTTCCTTTTAAACTTGTCATGTATAGACTCTAGTTGTCATTTAATAACATTTGGAGAACATTGCCTTATAAAATGATGGTTCGGAATGCTTGTAATGGAGCGGCGGACTGTCATTTTATAAGAAACTATAAAGTTTGAGCTTGCGGCCATCAAATCTGTTGTTGTGGATTCCAGCATGACACAAAGCGGGGGGGGAGCGGGTTAGGGTTAGTTAATGTTTATTTAGGGTCTGCTTGGGGTTTATGCGGGGTTGGTTCAGGGTTTGTTCATGATCTACTCAGGGCTGGTTTAGAGCTTATTCAGGATAGGTTTGGAGCTTTTTGGATTTATTTAATTAAGCGTGCTTTCGGGTTGGCAAGCAACGCCGTGAGGAGAGACCAGGCGGAACCACGGCACCTTACTTTCTTCACGCCTCTGCTTTAGTTTCGCAGCTCTTTAAAGTGCAAAACGAAAGAAAGCACAACGTGCACGGAAGACAGAAACAAACCAGCTTGTGGCGACCCATGGCGGGGTGACTCATAAGCATGCTCCGTGCAAAGGCCCTTCAACAAAATTCTTTGGCAATGACAGTATGTAGATGACCATGACCATCCATCACCATCCCACCACTGCCACAGGGCGAGACTGACGGCGCGCAAAGCGCCCTTATGAAATGACAATTCACACGCTGCAAGATGCCTTTACATCTTGGGACAAGCATTTCATAAGGCATTCTCCTCGCCAACGTGTCCCCGACGCACCCCCAGCAAAAATTGAAAGAGCACATTGGATAATGATAATGTCAGCTTTCTTTGGCTGTGATGCTGTGGTTGAAGAGAGGTTTCGGCACCCTTCCTCGCCTTCTTTTGTTTGGCTTCCTCCCATGAGCACCATTGCTCAATGACGATATCCATCCAGCGCCGTTGCTCAAAGACGATCTCCATCCAGCGGTTCTTGCCTCAATATTCATCAGTATTTTTGCACCTGGTTCTTTATGTTCCTGCTGTCGCTCATTGATGCCTGCTGCCTTGTACTTGTGATGGCTAGCTTGCGGGCGTGTGTGGCAGGTTGCTGCCATCTTCTGTGGCATTTTTTCTGTGTCTGCTCGTATGCATGCTGTCTTTCTCCGCGCCTTCGCCACCTTCTCGCTTGAGTTTCCCCGTTCTTTGCCAAGTACAAAACGAAAGGAAAGATAACATGCACAGCCACCACAGAAACAAACCAACTTGGCGCAAGCCAGAGTCAGCCAGAGAAGCCCCAGTGAAAGTAAAGCATCCTTTTCAGCGGACTTGCGTTCTCCTTGCCATACGCCGTTCAGCAAGAATATCAGACAACACCATGTAGAGCACCATCATCAGACACCATCCATCAGCATCCAACATCTGCTACAGGCCGAGACTGAAGGTGCACGAAGCACAACCATAAATGAAGGCCCACATGCCGCTACACGCAGCACACCCTGGGACTCGCAACTCAGAGGTCTGCCCTTGGCCATTGCGTGCAGAATGAGCTCCACAAGGAAACAAGGAAGAAAATAAATCAGATAACATCTGTCTTTTGACTTTTAATGCTGTGCTTGTTCGCAAGAGGTTTTGTCACTTTCTTGATTTTGGCTTGTATTTCTTTTCCATTTTTGATGCTGTTCAATGCTTTTCGGTTAGTGGCTGCTCATTTTCATACATGTTCCGTCAGTTCTTGACCTGTGTGTGAATTTTTCTGTTGTCGCTCAGGCGTTCCTTGCACTGTTTTTCATGAAGACAAGAGTGCGCACATGTGAGGCGCGGTTGCTTTCATCTCAGAGGGCTTGTTTCCTCATGCGCTGCCGTGCATGCAGCGTTTCAGCGCCGTCCTTCACGCCTCTGCTTTAGTTCCTAGCTCTTTAAGGTACACAACGACATGAAGCACAACGCGCAAGGCAAACAGAAACAAACCAGCTTGTGGCGACCCATGGGGGAGTGACTCATAAGCATGCTCCGTGCAAAGGCCCTTCAACAAAATTCTTTGGAAATGACAGTATGTAGATGACCATGACCATCCATCACCGTCCCACAACTGCCACAGGGCGAGACTGACGGCGCGCAAAGCGCCCTTATAAAATGAAAATTCACACGCTGCAAGGCTGCAAGATGCCTTTACATCTTGGGACAAGCATTTCATAAGGCATTCTCCTCGCCAACGTGTCCCCGACGCACCCCCAGCAAAAATTGAAAGAGCACATTGGATACTGTCAGCTCTCTTTGGCTGTGATGCTGTGGTTGTTGAAGAGAGGTTTCTGCACCCGGCCCTCGCCTTCTTTTGTTTGGCTTCCTCCAATGAGCGCCATTGCTCAATGACGATATCCATCCAGCGCCGTTGCTCAAAGACGATCTCCATCCAGCGGTTCTTGCCTCAATATTCATCAGTATTTTTGCACCTGGTTCTTTATGTTCCTGCTGTCGCTCATTGATGCCTGCTGCCTTGTACTTGTGATGGCTAGCTTGCGGGCGTGTGTGGCAGGTTGCTGTCATCTTCTGTGGCATTTTTTCTGTGTCTGCTCGTATGCATGCTGTCTTTCTCCGCGCCTTCGCCACCTTCTCGCTTGAGTTCCCCCGTTCTTTCCCAAATAAAAAACGAAAGGAAAGATAACATGCACAGCCACCACAGAAATAAACCAACTTTAAAGCAAGCCAGAGTCAGCCAGAGAAGCCCCAGCGAAAATAAAGCATCCTTTGCAGCGGACTTGCGTTCTCCTTGCCATACGCCGTTCAGCAAGAATATCAGACAACACAATGTAGAGCACCATCATCAGACACCATCCATCAGCATCCAACATCTGCCACAGGCCGAGACTGAAGGTGCACGAAGCACAGCCATAAATGAAGGCTCACATGCCGCTACACGCAGCACACCCTGGGACTCGCAACTCAGAGGTTTGCCCTTGGCCATTGCGTGCAGAATGAGCTCCACAAGGACAGATAACATCTGTCTTTTTACTTTTAATGCTGTGCTTGTTCGCAAGAGGTTTTGTCATTTTCTTGATTTTGGCTTGTATTTCTTTTCCATTTTTGATGCTGTTCAATGCTTTTCGGTTAGTGGCTGCTCATTTTCATACATGTTCCGTCAGTTCTTGACCTGTGTGTGAATTTTTCTGTTGTCGCTCAGGCGTTCCTTGCACTGTTTTTTATGAAGACAAGAGTGCGCACATGTGAGGCGCGGTTGCTTTCATCTCAGAGGGCTTGTTTCCTCATGCGCTGCCGTGCATGCAGCGTTTCAGCGCCGTCCTTCACGCCTCTGCTTTAGTTTCCTAGCTCTTTAAAGTACACAACGAAATGAAGCACAACGCGCAAGGCAAAAGAAACAAACCAGCTTGTGGCGACCCATGGCGGAGTGACTCATAAGCATGCTCCGTGCAAAGGCCCTTCAACAAAATTCTTTGGAAATGACAGTATGTAGATGACCATGACCATCCATCACCGTCCCACAACTGCCACAGGGCGAGACTGACGGCGCGCAAAGCGCCCTTATAAAATGAAAATTCACACATGCAAGATGCCTTTACATCTTGGGACAAGCATTTCATAAGGCATTCTCCTCGCCAACGTGTCCCCGACGCACCCCCAGCAAAAATTGAAAGAGCACATTGGATAATGATAGCTTTCTTTGGCTGTGATGCTGTGGTTGTTGAAGAGAGGTTTCTGCACCCGGCCCTCGCCTTCTTTTGTTTGGCTTCCTCCAATGAGCGCCATTGCTCAATGACGATATCCATCCA